TGTAATTAAAACTACACAAAAAAAAATCATATTAGTATGAGCATTTAAAAATCGAATTTTTATGTAATTAGATATTTATAAGAAAAATTATGATTTTTCATTAAATAATTTTAATCATTTTGTAGAACCTAATTCAAAAAATATTTATTTATTGATTAATTTTAAGCATAAATCAACTCACACAGTTCTACGGTAAGTCAGGATTGATGATATACCAGTTATAGTAACACTATATCTAAATAGCCAATAGGAAGTTATTATATGATGTATTATGCGATTCGTTTTTTGAAAAAAATAGTTCAACTAACTACCAAATAATAAAAATAAATTACTAGGTGAGCTAACACAGCTGACAGTTTGGCCCTTCTCAGATCCTTTTTTTTTTGCCAAATATGCCTATGATTATTACAATCACATTGCATGCAATCCGAAAGATCAAACTTAAACCGTTATACTATACCCACCTGGCTACCCAGCAGCGGCGAAGCGTCATAGGAGACAAAGAGACAGCGTTAAACGTCTACCCAATTAGAATACTTGCAAATAATAAAAATAAAAATTTGCTTATTGAAATCATTTTTTTTAAATTTAATATTATAATTTATAGTATTCTTTTTATTATTCTTTCTTCTTATTTAAGAGAATATTTACAATCCACACTAATGGAAGCATAATAAGTAAATTATATGAATTACAAAATAAAAAATATAAATAAACATGAAGAGATGAGAGAGGAGAAAAACCACTACCAATACCAGAATACCCATTCTCGGAATCAGATAAATCTGAATAAATTATAGTATTCTTTTTCTTAGAAATGTAATAGACTAGTTGCGGGCCGCGCACGTGAAACGGCGGTGCTCGGCGAGGCAGGTCGTTCCAAGAAACATCAAATATTCAAATATAGTATTATTTGGGACGTGTCTTCTTTCATATAGGTAGGGAATGTAAAAATTAGTTATGAATTATAATATGTAGATAGTTAAAACAAAATTCAACACATTTTATTTTAATAAATTGAAATGCAATTTTAAATTAAAAAACGCATTTTTTTATAAATGAAATTTCACCATTGATTTGATAATATTAGGTTATTTATAAAATAAAATGTTCAAGCTTCTAAAAAATAAATATGATACCTACATTTTAAAATGAAAATCAACAAATTATTTTGATCTCTCAAGAACTTAAGTCTAAAAATATTAAATATAATTATCAATCGCTAGAGTGTTGCTAAGTACAATTTTGAAAACAAACAACTAAACTAATCAGTAATCACCAATAATTATAAAATAACTAGAAAACTACCAAAATTAAAATAACAAGTCATTAGTCAGTTAATACCAATAGGTTCCAGTAATTTAGTATTAATAATTATATCTGCAAAAAGCTGCAGCTAGCAGCTATCATAACATAATAATTTTTAAAATAAAAATTTGATGATGAGAAATTTGTATTATTTTATATTACATAATTATTATGATAATTGACCAAAAAAAAACCAAGGGATGAACAACTGCCCTTATTTGACCCTCCTGCGTATTGTAATCGCGTAATTGCGTCCGACCTAAATTTAATATCGATTTTATGGATGATCCACTTTTCCGAAAAAATCAACCTTTCCGTTGACTCACAAGCATTTGTTGTGCATGTAAGTTCAGAAGATGGCAATGCTCAAAGTTTTGGAGGATAAGTACAATCTTCAGAAATATAAGTTTCTGCAAAATAGTCGGCACATTTTTGTAGTCTTACATCAATGGGACATTTGCTCATTAAGTCGTCGACGAAATAATCACTTACATTTTCCTGATTTAGAAATTAATAATTATAAGCCAAATATATTATGTAACCATTTACTAATTTCAGATGACTCATCTTTAAATACACTCAATTAGCCAATTTCTTGTATTTTACGGGTACCAAGATTGGGTTAACTGTCAGTTGTCGCATTTATTCTTATATTTTCTATTAATTAAGAAAAGGCATGATTATGAACATATTATCTACGTGATCTCTATAATATTTAAATTATACAATCAGGGATTACCATTATATAAAATTTAAATTTGTAGTGACTAGTGGCAGAAAATAGAAATATATATTATTGTACTGGCAGTAAACGGAAAGGTTGATTTTGGCGGAAAACGGTGACGCCCGATTCTATCGTGGTAGGTTGGTTTTTCTTTACGACTATTATATTATTATCTAAGTAATTTTTTGGTGTTACTATTATGCCTGACAAATGACGATTTAATATTTAACATTTTAAATTACAGAATAATAAACTAGTTATTAAATGAGGTATTGTGCTATAAGTTTGAAAAAAGTTGTTATTTTTTAAATATATTTTTTTTGTTTCTAGTTTTTGAACATATATTTATTAAAATATAGTTATAATAAAATAGGGGGGTGTAAATAGTGCCATTTTTTCAACGTCTCTACGACCTTAAGGAATATGTAAAATATGTGTTTCTGTTTCGGTTCTGATTATTTGAAAATATTTAAATTAGGTTCCAGATGAGTTCTGATTATCATCATTTTAAGTATTTTCTGGTTTTAGAATAATCGATTCTTTTTAGTTTGGTTACAGTCTCCGAGAGGAACAATGAATTTTAATTTGAACGCCGCGAAGAGACTAACATATCACACAAATATTTATATTCTATTTTTGTGTATGAACTCAATGAACTGAGAACTTTTTATTCCTCTTTTAACACTGGTTTGCCAATTAAAATATATTATTTCTCTCGGGAACTAAAGGCGAATAGAAAATAACCTATTCTGAAACAGAAAACACTTAAAAATCACACAGAACAATATTATACATAACCTATAAAATGAAAATAATATAAGGTTAGGTAACTACATTTATTATATTCTTACTGAGAAATATATTATAATTATAATATAATACTATGACGTACTCATATTATGTGGTTTCTGCAAATAAAACTCGAAAAATATAACTTATGACTTGAAACATAAGTACCTATTATACATTTTCTAATTCCTGCTAGTTGCTACATATCTATCATCTTGCATGTCACTAATATTTTATAAAATGTGATAATTAATGCACTGTCCATTTATATATTTTATAAAACGCCCTTTTGTAATTACTCACAACCCATAAGTCATAACAATCATAATCAATATTGTAATTACTAAATATAGGTAGTATTTAATATTTTTTAGTAATTTATATCGTCATCGTTCTAGTGTCCCACATAGAGATTGTATTGATTAGGTTATATACGAAATGTGGCTGACCGATTAAAAAACTTATTGTACCATAGGAATATTTTTTATTTCTTGTAAGTAGTAGGTATGTGTAATAACAATATGTCATAATTTAAAACAAAACTATTGTATAAAAACTTTATTTAAAAAATAAAACCTTTTATTTTTACAATTGAGTTTATATAGGTATAGTCGATTTTGTGTTTAAATACATTTTTTAAATATTTATTTTCTAAATTTGGTCACTAATCTTGTAAAACCTATACCTATATACATTCAATTATACAATGCACTTTTATAAATTTGTTCACATAAATTATATTTATAATCTAATAAATCACTGTATTTACAGTGTTTCAGAGAAACCTCAAAATATATTGTCACAATAATAATTACTTTAAAACAAATACCCAGCCTTATACATCGTATGGATTTACACCTTAACCAGTTTTAGATTCAATAATTTATATTGTTTAAAAAAATGTCTATAGCTTTAAAATAGTTAAGAAATTTGCAATGAAACATGTAAAATAGTATTAACAATATTTTGTGTAATAGTGTTCTGACAAAAAAGTATTTTATTTCAGGAACATAAAAACCAAAATTGTCATTATATACTATTATCAACTAATAAAAAATATATATTTATTATAATTTAATTAATTCAACTAATTATAAGAACAAATTACGGGTGTAATTAATAAAAATATAAATTTGGGTTTCTCTGAAACATATTAACTTATAATAACTAGTTATGAATATAAATAAAATGAGCACTGGCTAAGACGTGCTGCATGTTATAAGGATATACAATATTATTACATACTTAGAATAAATATATGATAAAAATATATTTAATTTTATAATTAAGTTATATCACAATACATAAATTAATTAATTAAATTTATATTAACAATAAATTACAATGATACTAATAAATTAGATAATTAAAAAAATTTAATTCCCATAAATTTAGTATAAATATTTTTAAAAAAACACCCTCAAAATATATTTGAGCTCAAACTCTTTAAAAAAAATATATGTACTTTCTTCATATGAATGAACTCGTATGTTGTCAAAGAAAAAATAAAACCAAATTTTATTACGTTTTGGTAGTAAAAGCTATATGCCTAAATAAACCAGTTAACGGTAAATTGTACTTACGGTAGCATTTAACAAAAAACATACCTATAGATAATATATATATATTATAGACGTATAAATGTATGATAATTAGTCAATAGACATAAACCATAAAATGAAACAAATGTCCGATAGATATTTTAAAAATATTCATTCAAATCGGTATTTAAATATTATCAAATTCGCAAGTGATTTTCAATTTCAATTAAAGTCATATTTTTCCAACGGAACATTTACCATAATTGCTTAAAATTTCAAATTTACTGTTAAAACATGATTTAAATAGAAATTAATAAATTAAACTAATGATAAAATTAATAACCATTATTTGAACAATAAAATATTTTGGAAATTATAAACACGAATAAACGATTTAATAAAATATTCAGTTGCAATAATAGTTAATATTTTTGGTTTCAGTTGCAATATTGTGTGCCGATTGGATTGGATTACATTATTTGTTGATAACTTATTTGTATTCACTTATTTAAAATAAATGTTTCAATATTTTGTCTTTGATTTTGTCTAATAATGAGTATCTATAAAATTTAAATTAGCATTCAATCAGTAAAAACCAATACATCGTGTATAATTTTTTTAAGTATTATGGTGTTTGAAATAAAAGGAACATTGTGAGTCGTAACAATATTGTGTCCTTCGTGTAGAAAAATCAATTCGTGAAGGTCTCTGCCGAGTATTACACTGATGTCTGATGGACAATTCAATAGTTTAAATATGAGCGTGCTTCCACATGTATAAGAATAATGAGACATACATCTAGTGGAAACAACTATAACAAGTATACAATGTGTGACATGTCAATCAATATCTATCTAAAAAGATGTTCTATTAAATTGCGTCCGTTGACGTAATAGTCTACAGAGATCTATAAAACGGCTGTGTTCGCTGTAAATAAAACGTCTCTCCTATTAGCAATAAACGTATACGAACAAAATTAGAAACTATTCATACTGATCGATGACACTTAAACTGACCATCCCGCATGATGTTCTTTTGTTGCAAGTCGTGCGAAAAAAAACATACTATGAGTACTGTATAAAATCATTAGGAACAAAAAAAAATTGTCTAAAAACTGTGGTCGTATAACCGACCAACTTGATAATGATAATGGAAATGTCGAGTGTTGCGTTTGTCTTGTCCGTTAAAATTGCAATATTTGATTGATCCAGTCTTTGAACTTTGAAATTCTGGTGTATACACCGGGTTGATTTGGTTCAGCACATCCAATGCCCCACGATATGATACCAGCTAGTAGCCATCTCTTGTCCGGTCTTTGAATTACCATCGGTCCACCGGAATCACCCTAAGCACGGAAAATTATTTTAAATTTATATAAATTGATTTTAATATTTTTTAAGCTGTTCAAACTATAAATTGGTGTAATTCTCACTTCGCACGAATCGAAACCTCCTTTTTTCCAACCAGCACAGATAAATATATCTGGTATGTGTTCAATGTATCCTGCTGCACGGTACATGGTTTCACAAACGGAATTGTTGATCACAGGAACTGTTACTTCTTGTAGAACACTAGGTAGAGGGCCGTCTATAAATAGAAAACAATTATTTTTTTTTTTAAATAATATACACTTCATGACAAATATGAAAACGACTAATATAATATAGTATACTATTTTACCATATTTTCTATAATCACATATATTTTTGTGTAATATAATATAATATTATATTATATTTATTAATTATTAATATATAGTCCCCTGATTTTGTCTTGCATTATTCTTAAAATGTATACCTTCATATAATCTCCCCCATCCGGTGACGTAGGCAGACGATCCAACAAAATTTGAATCATCCTCAGGAACGCAAACAGGTATGATATTAGGTTGAAACTTTACAGGTTCATAGAATCGCAAAAGTGCTAAATCATATTCAAAAGTTCTGGGATCGAACTGTGGATGTGATGCAACTATTTGTATTCTTCGTTCTTCGTAACCGTAAGGTTCTTCTTCTACTGATAAATCGTGTTCACCGAGTCTGAGGAGTAAGTCACTTGGAGGAACGCTAAAATAATTAAATATATTTTATTATTCAATCAGTATAATTTTAAGAATACATGTAGTGCAAAACATAAAAGCGATAATTATCTTATATTTTATTTACTTTTCAACACAATGCGCAGCAGTTACAGCCCAGTTTTCGTTGAATAATGCCGCTCCACATTTGTGTAAGTACGTAGACGTTCTCCACTGTCTTAATGAAATCTTAAATTTAAAAAAATCTTATTATTAGTTATTTTATTAAAATTGTACATTAAACTTTTAAACTTACCTGCCACGGCCATTTGCCAAAGGAAACTTTTTCACCTCCTACTATTCTAGCCGTTGGGAAAAGTCGTCTTCCACAAACTTTTTTTATGAAAACAATGATGTCGTCAATTTATTTAATTTATAATATAAATTATTATATATCAGATAAATGATTAACTTACCATCTTTGTAGTTGGACATATTGAGAGGAGCATTTCCTGCTTCGACGGAGTCTGTTGATGTCGATTGCGAGAGCATTGACAATGTACTTGAAGGATTTTGGGTGCTAGTGTAGGTCGTTTCGGAATTATTTATAACAACGATATCATTGTCGGACGGACTAGGGGGGGTCGTCGGCTTGGACATTGTCATCGTAGACGAGTATGCACCAGAACTGCTTTCTTTCATCGGCGTGCTGACAGTGTTGGGCTCATGTGTCTCGACTGGAAGTTTGACCCAAGAAGGGAGTGTCGAACCGTCTGTGACCGATGGTTTGTGCGTCACTAAAACAGGAATAACATAGTATTAAATAATCAATATTAATATTACAAACAATTTCCGATCACATTCTAGTTGGCGAGTTTCAAACCGAAAACTTACTGCTCGGTGGCGGTGGCTTCGTGTTTTCAGCCGGTACAACGGGGACTTTGTCAAGTGTGGTCCAAGTGACCAGAGTCGGTGATGTAGAAGTGACGGTTGTCATGCTGCCGTAACTGGGTGTCTGATACTGACCGTTGGCAGTGGCCGAAGTGAAATTGGAGACGATTTCTGTGACGTTTTCGACCGTCGAGCGAGTCGCGTACGTGGACCCGGTCGCGTACGTGGATCCAGTCGTGTACGTGGATCCAGCCGTGTACGTAGATCCAGTCGCGGATTCGATAGTGGACCCGGTCGCATCTGGTTTGCCGATGGTGGTAGGTTTCGGTTTAGCCGTCGTCGGGGCGGGCTTGGCCACGGTCTGCGGCTTGGCCTTTTGAGTGGACGTGGACATGGTCGTCGTTGACGGGGCCGCGGATGCGATAGTCGATTTGTAGGTGGTGCTCGACGGTTTGACGACGGGTTTGGTGGTGGAGAACGTGGCCGTTACGGTGGAGTTGTGCGGTGGGCCGGGACGCATCGACGTAATCGTGGTGTGCGGCTGACCGGTCGTGGAGGGCTTAGCAGTCGGTTCGTAAGATGAACCGGCCGTTGAGCTAGGCACGCTGAACTGCGCCGTTGGTCTCGCGGTCTGAGGCTTTGGCTTTTGGGCGGCGGCCGCCGTGGTGACGGTGGCTGTAGAGGTGGTGGCCTGGTCTCTGATCGGTGGCGGTCTGAACGAGGTCGGTTTGACCATAGGCTTGGCAGTTGAAAAAGTGGTTGACGGCATCGGTTTCGTCGATTGTGATATCGTAGTCGAGTACGAAGACGATATGGAACCGGTCGGCGGAGAACTGCTGCTGATACTGCTGCTGCTGCTGCTGCTGCTGCTTCCGAACGTTGGCTTCGTGCCGCTTGAAACTGATATCTCTGTGTACTGGGTGCGCGATGTGGACGTTGACGTGGTGGTGGACGGCGTGGACGACACGGCGAACTGACCGGTGGGCTTGTACGACTGCGAAGTAGACGGCTGATAACCCGTTGCATACGAGCTGGGCCTCAGCGTGCTGTACCTGTCGGCGGTGGTGGTGCCTGCAGTCGTCTGCTGCTGATGCAGTTGCGCTCCCGTTTTTGTATCTGTCGTTGCGGACGGACCGCCTACGTCATTGTTATCCAAGCTGTTTAGGTAATTATCTGGCTCGTTGGCCGCGTCGATGTCCGTGATCGACTGGGTCTTGCAGCAGCTGCCGAAGTAGAATCTATCGATGCAGGTGCCTAGATGGGTGCCATTAGCTTTGGCGCACGAGTAAGCGAACATGCACACACCAGTCTCTCCGGATCTCCGGCTGACGCATGGCAATTGTCTGATATTGCGCCCGAAATCTGCAACACGATATTATAATTTGTTATAGTATTTTAATAAGACAGTTTAAAATCAATATCGTATAGTTTCAGCATAATTATTTGAATTTTAAAATTTTAAATCTAAAAAACGTCGAAAAGTGTTAACTATATAGGTACCGCTCTGTTAAACAGTAGGTGTCTAGTGTAACTCGTCATTGAGTAGGTCATTGTAACGGTATAGGCGACAGGAAGTCTAGGATGGCTACAGGAAAAAATCTATAGGGCGGATGACTAGGGACAAGACCAGACCAGACCTTAAATTAGAGTCAATTATTATTAAATTGATCTGTTTAAATCTGTTGTTATAAAGGCGGTAAAGTGGGAGATGCCTTGTCTTACCTCGCATTATTTAGACATATGCTTAGGGCGGGTAAGGAGGAGGGCCTGTCTCATTTATCTCCCGTTTAATGTATAATATTTATGTTTCAATTAATGATGCTAAATGGAGGGGGGCACGTAGTGGTGCTAAAAAAAAACATAAAAATTCAAAAAACTAAATACTAAAAAGGTCACTGTAATGAATAGGCGATTGCAAGCTCTCCCGAGTATACTTCAGTACTACCTGAACAGTGAACAGTACATGTAAACTTTCCCAAGCCTGTAGTTGTAACTTAATTTATATACGTTATAATTATATCATTATAATTTAATGTTTATAATAATATGAACAAACATTTTTTTAAATTTAATATAGGTACATTTGAATTTCATTAAAAATAGTCAATTATTTAAATTGTAGTAAATACATAAAATATACATTTTAATTAATTACAAAATAAATGTACATTTTTGTGTAATTTTTATAATTATAAGATCATATAGATTTAAGAAACTTGTTTAAAAAAAAAATGTTTGGGTCATAATTTTTAAACTCAGGAGAGCTTACATATTTCTTTTAGGTAAACATAATATTGACCAGAGAGAGTTTACTAGTATTAGTAAAAAAACTCTCCCAAAAAGTATGCAAAACTTATAATGTCCTTGTGAACATTGTATTCAATTTTCAAACCTACTTATAACAATTTAACATTTTATGAATTTCTTACATAAAATATTTTGCAATTTTCTTGATTTTGACAAATTTTATTCAGCATTTTAAATAAATAAATGTTAACTTTAAACGCTTATAAAAAATTTAATTTATGTATTTTTAATATATTGGAATTGGTATATTATGAACAACTTGTGAAGAACCACGGAATTTTCAATCTATTTTATCCAAAAATAAATATTTAAAATACACAAAATAATAATTTTAAAATGAAAGCTTTTCTAAGAAATGCTAAAATGTATTTTTGATTTATGTTCAGTAGATACTATAGTTATTCATTTTTGAGTGAAAGCCAAATCGATTTTGTCAAAAACAGGTTTTCCTTGATGTTTTTCCTGGTTATTTTGTTAAGTACTGGGATTTTTTTACTCCAAAATACCAATTAGATAACATTTTCTGCCAGAAACCACCCCAAAAAGTTGAAAATTGAAGCATTTTTTGTACTATAAATATTAACTTCCGGCACACAGAAAAAAAACTACATATCATTGTAAAATTAATTAATTCATTACTCAGAATTTAACATTATAAAGATAATAGTAGTGATAATAAAATATGATAGAGTATCTTATAATGATAATAAAAAAAAAAATAGTATAGAATATATAGATAATAGTAGAGCTATATAGTATATTAAAAACAATGGGTTCTCTTTTACCATATATTAACATCATACGTATCAGGGGGATCTGTCTATCTGTCTATCAGCAATGTCATAACTCATAATGCTGTACTAGATTTTCGTAAGTTCAAGGCCATTTTTTATACAGCCATATAGGTATCGTGTGATTTTTTTAGTAAGAAATGTAGTATATTATTATGTGTTTTAACAAACAGAGTAAGACGGCAAAACTAAAAAATATTGAATTTATTAATTACTAGTTGTATTGAAAAATATATCTAAATAAAATAAATACAAGTTACAAATGTCACTTAACTATGGACCTCAGTCATACGACCATACGAGTATAAATATGTAACGCAGATACTGCCCATCCCCGACGATAATAGGTATAATAAATTAAAATGAATATATATATATATAGGAACCTGTGTCCATCCAAAACATATATATATATGTAGGAATAGTAAGTTTATCATCGCGATATGGTATTTAATATATCAGAGAAGAGCGATTATTACATTTACGATGTCGATAATAATTATTTATGACGTGAAGTTCATCATAAATTCTATATTGCGTTCAATTTATACCTACTATGACAAATTATTTTTAATTGCGCTATAACTGGTTCCGTCTTGTGAATAAATGCTGGTTAGACTGGTCAAGTTATATAAGCATGTGAGAATTTTAACTTCTCTGAACTTTATGTATGCTGTATGAATTCTATATTAAATATAAAATTATTAAATAATGAGAAGGTTAAAGAAACAGTGCGTGTGACTTGCATATAAATAATTTATATTGATCATAATAAATCGATAAAAGGTGAAGAAAAATCTTTGTTATTCAAAACGTATAAAATGAACTAACGATCATTTTTTTTATTATTCATATAAATGGTTTTATATTTAAGAATATAACCTACTGCCAATAATATTGATTTAGTAGGTACTTAAAAAGTAGTGCTAAACAATAAACATAAAAACTAACATGAATCAACTATAAACTGTGAGCACATTTACATAACAATTTTGATTTTAAAAATATAATTTAATTAAAATGTATGGAGTAGTTTTTCTTGTCTAATTACTATTTTTGTACAGTAACACCAGTAAGTTATACCTACCTAAGTACTTTATACAGTTGAGCTTTAACGTCTAATTACTCTGTTAAAGTTTAAAATGTATTAAATTTTGTTAAAAGTTGTGGTGTCAATAAAATACGTAGTTACCTGACATTTTATACATTCAAAAAAAAAAAAAATGAAAAACTTTTATTTATAACAATATCATCAATGGATAAATAATATTAATTGTTATATACTATACATGGTATATTTGGTGAACATTCAGCTTATAAAAAAATTGTAGGTATATACTATATAGTTGTAGCTAACTGATTACTATAATCACCAGTTAATATTATATTAGAACTTATAAAGCCTAAATGTTAGGTACGGTTCAAGTGCACATTTCTGGATAATATTTGTTGTGGTTAGAAGTATCTATAGGAACTTATTTCAATTTTAATAAGAAATTAATTTAAAGAACAAAAAACTCGTTTCTGCTGTAAAATATAGATGCCAATTTTTTTTTCTGTTATTGAGAAAAGTGGGCAGGTACTTGGAACATTTATGATAAATACCAACTATATAGATCAAATTTTCTACCACATATTTCAGAAGCCATATTTAATGTTGAAAATTAGAGTCCATTTTCTGGTCCAAAGTATATTATAATATCCAGTTTTAATAAGTAGTAACAAATAACAATATAAGTTTCTGGGTGTTGTTTTATTATTTATGTATATTTTCTAACTTCTTATTGTGGAGTCCACTTAATTCCCTTTCAAGTATGGAATATATGAACAATTTTTTTTTAAGCCAATGTGAAATATGCGATCATTTTCATCGATACGGGAAACATGAAAGGATTGGTAGGTAGATAGGTATAGGTACCTACTATTGCTATACAGCGCCATATTACCTATATTATAACATTATTGTTATGTGATGATTTGAAACCCACATTTGCAGTTTCAATATACTATACAGGGACGATGTTTTAAGAATGATTTTAAGTGTTGTTAATTGTAATTATCGACTTATGGTTTGATATATTATATTATATTTAGTTATCATTTTCAATATGAGATATAACATAAGATAGTTCGTTGAAAAATAATACATTTTATCGAAGGTAGGTATATAAATCATAAATATGTCTACAGTTGTCTACCTAACGTTAAATTATAACAACGATTAATCCATCAGACATTTATTGACAGTTTTAAATTGTTAACAGGTAGCAAGGTATAGTATATGCACCGCTCTCAGTCTGCTGCTCATCTAACAGCGAGTCTCTAAGACAGTGAAAAGAATGCTGCTTCCCTTATCTTTAATCGGGTACAAGTAGTGGGAGTGTATTTTATTATTAGTGTTATTTTTATTAAGAAATATGAAACACATCGATATCGTGAAAATGTTCTTAAAACCCTCACACATATTGTAATAATATATGAAATGATCGAGTCAATTGTTGGGGTTTTAAAAAAATATTCTCATGAAGTATTCATGTAATAAAGAAGTATATTTATATTTTTATAAAAATGATTTTCTAACCTTGGGTTTTTTGATTATTAATGACAATCTATGTATTTTTAATTTCATAGTCAGTAGGCAGTATACATATAGGTACATATCAAACATTGAACAGCAGCGGTTTCTATTAATAATAAGCAATTAAGTTGATAATATGAATGGAAAAAGGACTAGGGATAGGTAGCAAAAAATGTAGTTTACTACTCCAGTCATCTGATCATAAAAAGTGAAAATATATACCTTTATTAATCAAAAACTGTTTGTTTGATATTCAATATTAGTATATGTCTACGTTTGTTGAAGTATTCTATTTCCAATCGGGAAGTTAAAAAACACTGCAGACTGTTATTGATAAATAAATAAAAATAAAAATAATGCAACATAAAAATTAAATAAATAGAAAAATTAAGTAGTAGTATGTATTATTTTTCCCTTCAATAACACAAAAGATGACTTGGAAAATAAGTATATTAATTATCGCAGTTAAATGGATCACCCTGTATACAGCGCATCATAGGTACACATAAATATACGTATGTATGAGTATAATATATACATATATAGGTGTAGACAATGGGCCACAGTTGTGTCTGGCCAGTTTGTAGGTCAGTAGATTGAGAGTGTACGCGCGCGCCAGCGTGTGTTTCGATTAACAGTTATCTTGTCTTGTATTGTGTCCACAAAAAACCCGTACCCGTAAAGGTAGTGGAAAAACAAGTTTTTTTTAATGTATGCGCCAATGTTCAGCTTGCATTGTGCGCATAGTTGTATGTTGAACGTGATTTTATTTTGCCTCCGAGAAAAATAAAAACGTAAGACGATTGTCGTTCTACTTAGGTGTTCGATTGTCATTGCAGCTGTTATACATTAAAATTTAAAATATTAACCTACCTATCCATCATCGTAGTCCATCGCGATCTGTATGGTATTATTAGGTACACTTTGCATTCGCGATGGATTTTTTTTCGTAAATTATTCATTATAAATCACGATTGTCCGTTCCATTTTTGTGCAGGACGGTTGCGTTCACGTATAATATATCTATAAACAGTACGTACCCAACCCTAGTCTACCAGCATAGTAGACACTCTATCTCAGGTCGAACTTTATAAAGTCATCATTTTCCCTCGACTGACAAATCGAGTGGGTCAGAAATTATAACATGATCAAACGCAGTGACTTAACAAAATAATGGTTAGGTAAACAATTATTAGTTAGAGTTAATTTAGTGAGAACAGTCCAAAAACATTCCTATATTCTTACACGGGCAAATAAATATGTCTTCTGCGCCTAATATTATAGTATAGGTACTAGGTAGGTTAGGAACGTTGAAAAGTACCTATATTTGAGAAGAATATATACGTTTAATATAACAGTAATGACTCATTCCTAACTGTAAACTTAGTTTGGTTCATACCTCCTAAAGACTATTATTCACTTCATTATCATACGAGTTTAACTAAAGAAAGTGTCATCAGGACATCAGTCATAGCTTTCTTGAAAAGTCATTGAGTTCTACTATACTCGAATGTCATATAAAACAATCATGACCTTACAGTTTTCGTGGAGTACAAAGATTAAAGATACAATGTATTTGACTTCTAATATCGTGAACGTTGAAAAATGATATAATAATGCATACTAACCAAATAATATATTTATTTTAACTTACAACTACTGAAGCAGGTACACAAGTATAGAATTGTCGAGTTACATGAATGTGTCCTATAGTTAGTTGTTTTTAATAAACGTGGATGGTTTTACAAGGAAGTGATTTTCCAAATAAGTATCTATCTATTTCAGAATTGAATGAAAGTGCTGAAGGAAAACTTTCTTATATGCAAACTTATTGAAATATTGGATACCTAACTAATAAGTAATAAAACAGGATTACGGGTATTAAACTTTTTAATCTTCAACCTTATGAAAAGGAGTAAATTTTACAAGAGTAAATAAATAGTAAATAATAAATATTATGCATATACGTATTAAAACAATGTTACTAAAAATAGTTAGGTATAATACATATTATATAGGTACAATATACCCTGCTGTGTCAAAAACACAGTTTTTAAGTTTATAATTTATTTTTATTGTTGAAATCACTGAACAAATCGGTTTTAAAAATATTTTTTAATATTATTTATTCCAAATTCCAATAGACTAAAATTATGCACACGCATATTTTCTTCCATACTTGAAGTACCAAATAGTTTATATGTATATATTAACGGTTTCAAATGGTATAAGCAGAATAAAACATATAATTATTATAACATTGTTAGTATACTTAGTACCTGTAGAAGATTTTGACCGAGGTTAATAACCTTACGCCTGATGATCCGATTGCGGCGCAATTTTAAAACTCGAAAATCAGTATATTTTAATTATGTCTTAATATGTTATTTGATTTTTGTAAGTCAATTAAATTAAGTTATAATTGCTATGTTATTATTAATGTTATTATTAACCCGATATTTAACTTTTTATAGTGTAAAGCCTGATAGCACTATAACAGGTACCTATATAATATTATTGTGTAGTAATCAACATCTTCACTTTCTCTTAACTAATTAAATGTTCTGAATCCAACTCTATTAACGTAATTTAAATGTGTGATATAATATTTTTCTGAAATGTGTAGTTTTTGAGTTTTTAACGATTAAAATGTACCAATATCATAAATTACAATGTACAATTACCCGTATACACTATGAAGTGTATTATAATTGCGTTTATATTAAACAGGTCTATAGTAAATAAACTATTCAAATAAAATAGTCATTACAATTTCGATTATTACCTGTAAGAGTAGTTTGTGTATCCCACGAGGGATACGATTTCACTAGACTCTGGCTAATGATTAATCCAATGATGGACATCTTAAGTAATAATGTTTGATCGTGTGAAGACTTCATTGCTGAATAAATGCCATGTCTCTTCATTCTAAATATAAAAAAAAAATTTTTAATCACATTATTTTGGATTATCAGTATAGTATAGGATATAGGTAGGTACAATAATAGTATAATCATTAATATTGCATTCTTAATAATATAATATTGTATTGAGTGCGAGCCAACGAATAAGCTCAATCATAAAATAGGTTCCAGGATGATTAATCCATTGACGCTAAGTCCATTTTTAGTGAATTTCAATTATTTTAAAATCCATTATTAATAATCAAATTTTTGAAATGTTCAATATTAATTGTCAATAGACCCTTATAATCAATATTCATTTTAATAAATAAACTTAACATTAGTTTTATGTTTTTATATAACAATAATATAGCAATTTATTTTTGTTTTCTATGGATATTATTTTGAATAACTACTCAACCAATAATTTAAATTATTATTTATTTTTTATTTTTGATGCTCATAATATGTACCTACCTACCAACCCACGTATACTGTTACTAAAATTCAATGACATATTGTCATATAATTTATGAGGAATTTTTATGTTCATATTTTTATTTTTTATAACTTTAAATTTAATAACCAAAATAGTACCTAATTATGAAGTTATATGTATAACTATAAATTAGAAAGGCAATATTCGGAACATTGATTATAACAGGACTGAACTTTTTGAATCGGCGGTCGCCTACAAGTTACAACTATGTATGATTTTGATCTGGGCCCTAGTAGAGTTAATCCGAATTCGATAAGTACCTAATAAGTAATAAAATTTATTAGTTTTTATTGATCTTCAAAAAACGAATGTAAGTGAATAAAAAAATGGTCTTTGATGACAAAAATTGTGTTCATGGCTTAGACATATTCCATAAAAATATTTTGAAGACCACAGTGTGTCGTTTTAAAAAGGGTTGATAACTACTAGTATAAAGACATGTTTAGTACATAATTTATATTATTATATTATGCCTGAACTCTGAAATAAAACATTAGCTTCAACTTCATCCACAACAATTTGAGCGACGTTTAACTACGATGTGTTAATAAAGTTTACTACTTACTGTCTATTATTATTTATTTGTTATATACCTTACTTATAACATGTAAGTACTGGTATTAGAAAATGCGTATAAGTATCTTTTATAATAGACAGGATTTAAATTTATTGGAATAAATGTCACAAAAGCCGAAAGTCGTGTATGGCCGTATGGGATCTTTTTTTTGACATTGTAATCGTAGTTATCATACACATACATACTATAATATCTAATAATAATTTTAATATAATAATACGCATGTATCAAAATAAATCGAATACGTGAGTGCTTGAGAGCATAGGACAGTGATTTTTAATTATATGACTATTGTGCACCATTTTAATTTATCAAGAGTGAGGCACACCCTCTTGTACACTTAATTTTATTGATGCGCTCATAATTTTGTATATTTTAGTTTATGTATAGGTAGGTAGTGGGTACCCACGTTCCACGTATTATATTATGCGATTGTATATGAACAAGAATTTATAGCACTGAAAATACTGCTGAAATATACACTAACTATAGAAAAAAAACATGAAGAGTACCTATGCTCTAAAAACGTAAAATGTAGAGAACAAAAAATGTATTCTTGTATTTACAAATAAAAATAAATTAATAAGAAAAAAATAACTTATTATCTATTGAATTCAAGGAAATGTGGTCATATTTTTTTTATCTATTCACATCACTTTTTTTCTATTAAGTATTTTTATTCAAATTACGATATTAATGAAAACAAATTAATAAAAGATAATCAAATCTGGCAGAATAGCCCAAAAATACTAAAATGCTAATAAATTATAATATGAAATAAATTTGAAATCCTTGACACATCAAACAAATGTATAGCTTGCAGCTGGCTATTATTTTATCAGTTCCTATTTTATAATCATTATAAGTAAATTATATAGAATCCAAGCCCTGAATTCTGAACATAAGTATTATAAATTGAATAGCAAGATTGAAAGCGATTCGAGTGTGACAATAGAAAAATTGTCTACCTATATTGTATTAGCGTCGTATATCAAGTGTACGGTGTGTCTATAAATTATAATATAGGTAACTATCAAGGTGACGATTAGTAAAGAGAAAAAATATTTATTCAAATCGCATGTCCCTTAACCTAACCAAGACACCAACTTGTTTCTTAGAAACTTATCAAACTTACTGTGATCCAAAACACTTTTAATGACTGGTTTCACCCATTACCAAATAATCGATTTTATTAAATTCATATTTATCTTAATTTATTTAGAAAATAACAACAATTAGGTCTCGCTGAAAGTTAAAGTAAAATTTTTAAGTAACAAAAGCTATTAAACAAGACAATAGTATTTATTAACTATTGAATTCCTATTTAAAATTGAATACTTATTATTTTTTAGTACGATCTTATGGAGTAAATATTTTTTTTTTACTTTTCATAACTTTCTTAATATTTAGAATAAAGTTAGGACAAATACATTTGCTTAAGTTATGGGCGGTTATGGGCGCAATCTAAAAATTCAGTAGAAATAATCATTTATTGACTGATACAATCAATGATTCTTTTCAGTGTGATTTTTTAAGTCGTTAAGATGATCTGTTAACCGAGAACTAATTAAAAATGTATTTTGTTTATATTACATTTTTTTTTTTTGATTATCATTTAAAAATGTAAAAACTATGGTTTAAATATAAATTAACACTATAACCTGTCTTAGGGGGTCGTGCCACCCGGAACGAGAATCTATAGTCTGGACTAGGTATACATGCTAGTATCCGCAGAGTACCTACTCCTAATATTTCAACCAGTGAAATTCAAATTGCTCATGAGTAATCACTAATCAACAATATAGTTTTTTCACACATAAACGTAGGTAAGTAACATGCTTTTGAAAAAATATCACAATGACGTTTTATTCGTAAATACAGATGCATGTTTTCTCGCATTAATTAAGGTGGATAACAGAGCACCCACTGTGTTTACTGTTTCCACTCAATACGAATAATAGGTAGTTATATTGTTGCTTATTATAGTCATTGATTCATGCAGAGTAGGTAACCTGAAGCAATATATATAATAATATATAATAAATAACAGAATATTAGTTACATATCTATAGTGCATTATATACTACCTATACTATAGAATTATGTAAATAAGTTATATGTCATCAAATATTAATATACAATATAATAATATTGCATCTGATAACTAAAGTATTACAATATAATATGTATCCGCATCACAAGAATGGAGTTAAATGTTTTGGAATATGGGGCAAAGTAGATTCGAATACAAAAAAGCTAACAAACTACCTATATGATATATATTATACTGCATCTAAACGATTTTGGTTACACTAAAACACGGTAACAATTCAATTACTCAAATTATTGGAATCGTGTTTGAAATGTGATATAGCTAAATAGATACCTATATTTATCGTACTCAAGATTCAAGTATGCAATTATAGTGAATATAATTGTATTATGACGGGAAATGCAATTTGACTGAGGGTGAAGTGTCTCTGTATTCACACCATAATAATTGGCTTGGTTAAAAACGTGGTAATATAATACTATATACACTATATTTTTTTAGACGAACCCGATGATCCATTTCTGAGAAATAAAGCGTCATAGAAGCGAAAAAAATCTAGCGGAAAATCAATTGCATCCTTGATCTTTTTCAATTAGAATTCAAATCATGCGTAAAATGTAAGCCTGTATAAAATATAAATCTGTACTCTTTAACAAAGTATTTGAAAATAGAACAGTGAGTTTTTTTTAAAATTTATTCCAACACTATTTACTCTTTTACGATGATAGAACATTCCTACGTCGGGTTTTGGTTGCACAGAGGTACTTACAAGTACCTACTTATGACATTATAACAAATATTATACTCTATACATTTATAATTTTGGTACGAATCGATTCAAATAATTAATTTAAAGTCGTCTATATGATACATTCGTTAAAATATACTTAATATAAATTATACATTCTCTAAATCCAATAGAATTTTCAATTGTATTTTAGTTTATTATAGTGCCTACATATTTATAGGTCATAGTAGAGTAGAACTGAGCTTTTCATTCTCATTTGAAGAAAAAAATCTTTGTAGTTTGTAGTGTTTGTAATGTTTATATACAGCTCAATAATGATAATATTTTTAATAATACAAGTGAATTAAAAGGAAGGTACATTATCGATTAATTAAAAATGTGTGTAACAATATGATAAAATTTACGGAATAATAACAATAAAAGTTTAAAAATAGAAATTTACATGTCGCATATTGTACGTATAGGCTACATGACCCACATGTGTAAAACCATATGTATATAGTTTATACTAAGCCACTGAATTTAAATTGTGTACGACTTATCGCCATGATAACCGTCATGGTATGGATGATATCTGTATACAATATACCCGTTGGTCATCATTGCCTACCCGTATAAAATAATATTATTATGTCGTCGTATAATATAATATGTACAAAGATAGAGAGTGCAACATTTTGGATGGCGCATATGTATATATACCTGCACCCAGACATTATTTGTTTATTTTTCAGTATAATATGTAGTTCACCCTGAATTATGTTTATATTATAAACACCCGACAATTATATCAGTATAATATTATGTAGTTCACCCTGAATTATGTTTGTATTAACATCCGACAATTATATTAGTTTATAGATAGGCCTACAATATAGTCATTCAATTCCAGCAATTATCAATAAAAATTATGCATTAAAGTATTAAATAGAAAAACTTAAAATTTGTATTAAATATTTTTTTTTTTTTTTATTTGATCCTGAGCCCGGCAACTGTGGCCATTAGCTATTAGTAGGTACTGTAGGTTTTTGTATTGATGGTTTGTAGGTTTTTGGAACGGTAGGGGGAACACGTGTGTGTTTGTTTTGGCAGAATTTCGAATGGGGCACCCGTAGGTTTCTGCCATGCCCCGGGGGTGGGGGATGGCA